TTTCTGCTTCACATTAAAGCTTAGTCCTTCAGAGCCTGTGCCATCTGCTGCGAGCCCACACAGCTGCTATGCCCACATGGTTGCGTGTGTTCCGGGGCAAGACAGAGAACACATGAACAAACAGGGTGAGTGCAAGTCACTGGGCAAAAGAGAGAGCTGCTTTGTATGCCTGGGGTTATAACCAGGAGCTTTTCCAAAATATCCAATCAACTGCCCAAGCTTTCACAGGTTCATGATGGGTTCACCCCCTAGTTAGACTGACAGACCTCTATGATCAAGCATCACCCTCTGTGCTCCCCAACTACCTGGTACCAGAGGGACTGGGTGGACAGTGCTTCTGGGAGATTTCCTATGCTCCTAGGATTGTCTCCTTGTAGGCAGAGTATGAACAAATGTATAAATGTTATAGATTATGGAATCTGTAATAGCTTCCTGGCTAAGCAGACAGGCTTATGCCCCCCTAGTTTATTAAGCTCAATGTCTAATTCCCTTTGTTTTCTTCCTTATTAATAATTAGCTAACTATCTACAGTAACACAACCAACAGAAAGATCCTTCTTGACCTCTAAGAACATCAGACTCTGACTCAGGGGCTGACCCAGGGTCTCTTCACCTAGACTGTACACATGGTAAAGATCCCAAGGACAAGGTGGGAGGCACAAAGCTACACTGAATAGTGGTTCCTGGGAGACAACTGTTGTTTTGAGAAGCACCTGTAGTACATGCAGCCTTTTGTAGGAATTCTTAACTTACAAGGACCCCTCGGAACTATGTATGATTTTGTGTTTGTATGATGAGCAAATATTCATTTTTTCTGGAGTGAAGGACTTTATCTTTCATCAGATTTTCTGAGATTGAAAAGGAAAGAGATTGGATCTGTAGAACCTTAACTACATTGTCCAACATGGTAACATCAGCCACCTTTCAAGTATTCAATGGCCACATGTGGCAGTGGCTGCTGAATTAGTGTAAAACATAACATTTCCTCATCAAAAAAAGTTCCACTGGACAGTGCTGCCTTAGCTAAATGGTGCTTTCTCTGTGAAACTTCCTTCAGAAGGCTTGGATATTAGACTTTGGCATTCAAATTTCTTCCCGGTGCTGTGGCATACTATAGACCTTTGGTAGTCCAGTATCTGAACCTGCTGACCACCACCTAGCAGTGACCAGATTGCTAGACGATGCTTTTCTTTGGCCTCTTGGCATTCTACCAGCATGAATCCCTATCAAAAAAAAAAGATGGTAGGTGATATGAATTATTTAGGGATTATGGTGTTTTTCAGTGACCTCATATTTGGGCAGTCTTCAAAAAACATGAAGAGAACATTATAAAGGGCTGGATTAAAACTATGAGTGTTTGCCCTGGCTGATGTGGCTCTGTGGGTTGGGTGTCAGAGTCTGAACTGAAAGGTTGCTAGTTCACTTCCCAGTTGGGGCACATGCCTGGGTTGCAGGCCAGACCAGAGCCCCAGTTGGGGGAGACAGGTGATTGATGTTTCTTTCACACTATTTCCCCCTCCCTTCCTCTGTCTCTGAAAAATAAACAACAACAACAACAACAAAACCCGTCAGTATTCACCAATGATTGACAAAGATGTTTTTCTCTATTTCTTCTCACATGAGGTTAGCAGATACCCCCGTATGTTCAGCAAGGACTGGGGATTACATGGTGGGACAGAGAATTTTGGCAGTTCTTTTCTGTTGATGAATGTGAAGTTTCTATTCTGATAAGTGTTGAAATAGTTCTGCCCTGCTTGTTGACAGTTCTCAGGAGTACAGCAAAAGGAAATAGACTCAATAATCCTGTTCCATGATAACATAGGGAAGTAGCATTGCCTGATAAGTAAGCCTCTGATCCCAAAGGTTTGGAGGCTTTGATCCCCAACCTGGGGTTGAGTCCAGGCTTTGCACTATAAGCCATATTGTATGATCTGGAAAATGTGGAATACACCCCATAAGGCCATGGCAAAGTCTGAATATGATATCCAACTAAGTGTGAGGTGCAGTACCTGGTTTGCAGCAAGCTCTGAACAAATAGTAGCTATGATTATCTTCTATCAGGTCTTCACTCTCCATAATTACTGGGGATGCCTCTGTTTTGGATACCCTGGATTTTTAATTACTGTGAATACTATTTCTTAATTAACGTCTGCTTCCAGCTTGGCCTTTCCAATAGTTCTTCCTGATTTATGAATCACAAAAAAGATGTTATGATATGTGGTGTTACATATAAAGAAAGTGATGGGGCATCTACTTGTACTGAGGCCTGTGCTCACTGATTTGTTAATTACTGAGATCACTATATTCACCACAGAGTTATATGTAACAGGGAAAACTGGAAATAGTCTGAATGTTTGACAATAGAGCACTGAAATATTGACACACGGCAAATCCTTTCAAAGTGATATCCTCCATAAATATTTGTTGACATAGGTAAATGTTTATAATACAATGTGAAGTGAATCAAGGCCAAACACCTGCTGCGTCTCAGAATGCCCTAGAGACATGTGCCGGGAGACATGTCTAGAATGTTTAGTTATGGCTCTGGACCATAGACAACTGAAATGTCCCTTAACATCATCATGGGAGAATTGTGGTATAGTCACACATGGAATAAATAGTACACAGAACTAAAAACAAAAACCCTATAACTATATTCAACATGAGGGATTTTGCAAGGATAATGTGAAGTTTAAAAAGCAAAGTACAAACGAATACATGTAGTATGATTCCATGTGTATAAACGTCAAGCTGAGGAAAACTTAATTGTATTGCTTAAGGTGATGAACTGCAAGGAAAAGTAAGGAACTACTTACAATTAAAGTGGGTGCCTCTGAGGAATGAGGGTGGGGGAAGGTCATGGGAGGGCAGAGATACCTAAGCAGCTTTGGCACTGTTCTGGGTCATTATTATTATTTTTTTTAAGTGGTAGTGCCTTTATAGTATTAGTTAAATTGTACCTTTATGCCCTAAATTTAATTCTATAATTTAAAATGTTTTAACATAAAATAAAGACCAAGGGAAAACAAGTACAATGCAAACCTACATTTTCCAGTACGATCTGAAGTTTACAAATTTTTGCATGTATGGGGTGCAGGGGTGGGGTGTGGAGGGGAGTGGGAGTGGATCAACAGTGGTTTTCTCTGAGCAGCAAAATGTAAAGGAATTCATATTGTCTTCCTTGAACATTTTGTATTTTCAGTGTTTTACAATTAACAAGAATTACTTAAATAATAAGAATAAACGCAGAACTACCAACTCTCTGGTTCCGGCTCTTCATTTTACATCTCTGCATGGAGTCACTTTGAGGAAGAGAAATTTCTCCGTGCTTGAGAGAAATAGGGAGGGAGGGATGGCCACACAAGTGAAATCAATACAAGGAATCACCACGCAGTTGGTCATTTGTGCCAGCAATAAGGCCTCAGGGGTCTCAGCTGATGGAAACCAGTAGATACTTCCCAGATCACCCAGAGCTCAGACACCTCTGCCTGCTCTCTCTCTCTTTCAAAGCCTGGAAAACGAGCCAGCAGCTAAGTAAGAAGTTATTGTGATTCAATAACAACGGTCACTTTTAAACTCATTTTTGTCATAACATCTCATTGGGGCATTACATGTATTAATCCAATCTTAACATTCACAAAAATTCTATCAAGTGGGTATATATGCATATTTTACACTGATGTTCCAGGGCTTAAAAAAGGTGGAATGACTTGCCCAGATGTCTGAATCCAAAGTCAGTGACTTTTATACTATCTTTATTCATGCACATGTTGTAAAAGTTTACTCGACTGTTTTTGTGGGGAAAAAAGGGGCCACATACTAGCCTGACAAGCTCAGGGGTGGCCTGCGTGGCAGCCTTACAAACTCAGGGACCTACAGTAACCACAAAGGATGGTCTGAAATTAAAACTTTCTAACTAAAAGCAGTTTATGGCGGGCAGTCATGTCCTAGGCTGGAATCTAACCTGACAGAAGTTAATCTTTACCTTAATTAATCCTATTGTTTTATTCATCTAGGGCAACATACTTTTGGAATATCAAAGTAATTTCCTTTTTCCAGACTCCTAAGCACAGGCACTGCACCAGAGGGAGACCATATATCCCCTTCTTGTTATTATTACCCTGTTAATTGTTGAATGTTAACTATCCTATACCCAACTACCTAAAAAAAGTGTCTATCCTTTTACTTTTTATACAATCCCCAAAATTCCCCCACACCCCATCTTTGCTTTCTCCCTCCTCCATAACCTTGCACCAATGGATTTCATGTAACCCACTTATGTCTTCTCTTTTGATTATAATGTATAAAGTAAGGTGCAAAAATGCCACTTTCCGGAGTATTTTTTCAATCTGTTAAGATTTTCCTTCCCAGCAATTGTCCTCAGTTTGGCTCTAACAAACACAATTCTCTACAGATCTGAATGTTTCTTACATTGACATTTTATACTCACAACAATCATATGAATTAGCTCAGAGTAGCTGTATGATTGGCCCAAGGAAACACGGCTAGTAAGAAGCTTTAATCTTTTATGTTAACTTGTTTCTTTTTTCTGTGTCTTCATATACATCTAGTCATTACAGTTAGGAGTGAACAGTCAGATGCAATCCAAAACTAGCTTTCTCATTCCAACCCCCTTCTTTTTTTATAAGAGGTAAGATTAAGATAGAAGAGTACAGTGTAAGATTCTGTGGGCATTTTGGTTGTAATTGGTGATTTGCCTATCAACCTCAGTTCCCAGTTTCCCAGGGTTCTCCTTTGTTTTTCTCTGTGCCCTAGGGGAGTTAACCTTCCAACTGCTTTAAAGGAGTGTACATTCCAAGATCATCTCCAAGTTGCCGGAGAGAACACTTCCAGCCTATCTCAAGCAGTCTCCCCACCCCCTTTCGGTGTTAGAGCTGCTAATATCAAAGCTCCCTGGGAGTGGATGCTTTCTCAACGCTATCTTGGAAGGTAGGCCATTTCTTTGGCAGAAGGGAGAGGGCAGTGGAATTTCCTCTGAGAAAGGACAGTTATGCAAAATACGAGGAGGAAGAGGAGAAGAAAACTGAGAAGGGAGTTGGTGAGTCAGAGAAAAGCTGCACGGCTGGGCTAGCGGTGAGCCTCTCTAAAGCCCCAGTATTAACAAGGTAAGAACGGGTTTTCTCTGTATACACCCCTAAAGCAGGGCTTTTACCCCTGGGCTAATGGAGCCCAGCATCAGGTAACCCTGGGTAGTCCCAGCTTAGCTGATTGGAGGTGTACTGATTCACAATAACCTGGAGAATCTTCCTGAGAAAGCATAAATTGCTACTGCTCCTCCATCCCCACATTGCTCCATCTCTAAAAAAGTTACAGGAGCCTAGAATGCCAGGGCTGTTCTTTTGTATATTTTGTAGCCAGTCCCCTACAGCATCTAACTTGTTCAGATCCTGGTTTCAGAGCTCAAGTCTCTACTTTGCTCAGCTTCTCTGTGCAAGTGCTTGGGCATGAAAGACCAGCGATGCAGAGAGCTGCAGGTTTTCTCTAACTTAGGTGAAGTGCAGTGTGATAACTGAACACTCTGGGACCTGAGACCCAGGAGACCTGGGTTCTGATTCTGACATGGCTATTTTTACCACTGAGTCAATTAATTAAAGTTCGGTGTACTTATTCTACAAAAATGGGGGTGTGGATCATCACTGACCTGTACAACTGAACCTTGGAGATACTGTAGGTTTGTTTCCAGATCACATCAATCAAGAGAGTGTCACAATAAAGCGAGTCCCAATCTTTTTACTGGCGGAGGTCTTGCCTCTAATTTGTAAAAAATGCAGTATCTGTGAAACACAATAAAGCGAAGTGCAATAAAATGGGGTATGCCTGCATATCTAACTGGATCGTTGTCCTAGATATCAGAGCTTTCAGAGTCGTGGAGCACCATTCGGATGAAAAGTAAGACTAAGTTATGAGGCCAGCACATCAAACAAAGTAGAAGAGACATCTACCTTATATAGGCAAGCCTGGAACTTCCAACTGCAATTGAAATATACTTTTATATGTGCAAAATAAAAATATCTGGCCTCTGCTTTCCTCACACAGGTCAGTGAGGACACTTTAAACAGTAAAAAAATGCTTTACAAATGTTTATTCATTCATTCATTCATTCAATATGTGTTTCTTGAGCACCTAATATGTGCCAGGCACTGTCAGTGGCATTAGAGACAAAGCAACAGTGAGGACACAGCTCCCATCCTCCTGGTGCTTTCAGTCTAGTTACAGTTTGTTACCATATGGACACCTGTTGCCTGGGTGAAGATAAGCACCAGGGTGTTGGTTTCCTTAACCCAGCTCTGCTCTATTTGTTCTCTCTATTCTCTATCTGAACATATCTTCTGCCACCTATAATTTCAGGTTGTAGAGGCATAATCTCAGCAGAGAATCTAAGTTAGCAATGTGTCGGTGGCCGAAATGCAGGGCTCTCAAATTGATGTCCATCTGTTTTTTCCTCAGTTTCTTCATTTTGTTTCTAAAAGGCTACAGTGTACCTTTTGGGGGGACATCTATAACTCAGCCCTCTGTAATCAGGCTGCTCAATGAGGTCAGCAAACTACGGCCCCTGTGCCACCCCAGTGTCAGTATCCTAAAGTTCTCATGACTCTTCAATGACAGGCCTGTCCTTTGTGCGCCAAGATGATACCACCTGCCCATCACTAGGGCAACATATCTTAAATTATTTTGGGGGTGGTCATGATGGGATGTGCTGAGGGTTTCTTTCCCTTCTTTTTTCCTTTTACTAACTGAGCTGGTTACAGCAAGGAAAGTAATCTGAGTCATGTGTTGCTCTGCAATCAGCCTTTTTTTTTTTAGATTTTATTTATTTTTGAGGGAGAGGAAGGGAGGAAGAAAGAGAGGGAGAGAAACATCTGGGGACCTGGCCTACAACCCAGGCATGTGCCCTGACTGGGAATCAAACCGGTGACCCTTTGGTTCACAGGCTGGCACTCAATCCCGGCCAGGGCTGCAATGGGGCTTTTATTTCTAACTGATGAATGTTTCTCAAAATAATGTTCATTTTTCCCCATTTTAATTACTACATGCTCAGTGTAGAAACTTTTTTCTTTTTGGAGTAAGGTTAGCTGTGCCGTACTGCATCAAAACTCTGACTTATTAATATCTTGTTCCATGCAAATGAGACATTATAGATTCTGTACTAAATAATCAACAGAGTCACCTAAATATTAGTAAATGATATTAAAAAATGATATTAAAGAGACATTCGTATGCATTCTAGAAAAGGACAAGTTTCAGTTTCTGATGCCACTCATTTAGTTATTTGCTTTCTAGCAGTCACTATGCCTCTTCCCACAGTCAACCATTCATTCATTCAACAAGTGTTTGATGAGCTCTAATCACGTGTAAGTTTTATGTACCTGTAAATAACGTGAGACACAGCATTTACTCCTAAATTATAACAGCCAGTGGGAGAGACATTCATCCACAGCTGTTTACTATGCAGTGAGAGATGGATACTAATGGCAAGTTTGGGCACACCTACGTCTCATGGGAAAGCAGTTAGCTCTCAGGGAGAAAGCTGAAATGTAGGCAGAATCTTGAGGGACTAGTGGTCTTGTGAATGTCTCAGGGCTTCTAAATAACTGGGCAAGTTGAGAAGCATGAGATGTAAAGTCTGGACCCTAAGCCACCAAAAAGGAGGGGGGTGACAGGAGATGAAAGATTAAATCAAGGACCCTGGGTACAAGACTTGGGGATTCAGAGTTAATACTGTATGTGTTGGAAAGTGTGGGGGAGGAAAAATAATTTTCCTTCTACCCTTTTAAGTTCTGGCTGAACTAATAATCAAATTAATATGAGGCCTTGGCTGGGTAGTTCAGTTGGTTAGAGTGTTGTCCCAATATGCCAAGGATGCGGGTTCTATCCCTGGTCAGGGCACATACAAGAATCAACCAATGAATGCATAAATAAGTGAAACAACAAATTGATCTCTCTCAAATGAGTCAATACAATTTTTTTTTAATTAACATGAGACATTAACAGAAGAAAATGACCAAATTTTCATATGGGGGGTCCAGAAGAGTATGAGACCGGAGGACTGATTGGGCAGTTAAGGCTTATACGCCATCTTGAGCTAAGGAGAAGGGAACAGTAGGGGGTTTAGGTTAGGACTTCAAAGGGGAGGAAGTAAATTCACATAAAGATAGAAAAGCTAACATTTTGTAAATAAATATTTGCTGGGTCATTTTTAACAATGGGACACAGAGAGGACTTTGATCATATTTAGTTTATATTAAACTATAGTTATCTATTAACAATAGGCTCCCTTCCTGGAAGCAGGTCTTCTATCTAAATTCTTTTATTTAGTTAAGGAAAAGGTTAATGATTCTGAGTCTTTTATTTCTTTAAAATAACCATCTTAAAATAATATTTTGGGGTGGCACACTCTGCTTCCCTCAAAAGTTATGCAAGGATTTTAAGGAAGGGAACAACAGACTTGTGCTTTTAACAGGTAGTTTTTTTGGCAACAACGAATGATGAGGAGAGCTGAGAGACAGAAGAGGCTGCTCACTGCCAGAGCCAGGATAGAGGTGAGCAGATTTAGGGTTCCTGCAACAGGGAGGGTGGCACTCAAGCATGCAATTGAACAGCCAGAAAAGAATGCTCAGGAAGGTGGACTAGAGATTCTGAGATGGAGTCAGGTCACAGACTTCCCCAAAATGCTTGTCAACTCCAAGGACTACAGAGGAGATAAGCACGGAACAATCAGGGAAAGGTGTTGGTTAGTTTAGAAGAGATTGTCATAAAAAGCCTCGGGTTTCCTTTTCTTTAGGGAGCCATGTCACCTCGCTTCTCCCAGGGTTTCCAGAAGGTTCATCTTTACCACTGATTACAGTATCTGCAGAAATGAGCTTTGCCCAAGACACACTTTAAAGTATCCCTAGCTGTTCTGGTCACGGGTTGCCTAGATCCAGCATGTGTCTAGATTCCAGTGACAAGAGATGGGACTCACTATACAAAAGCATTACTTTCTGCCCAGGGAAAGAAAAAGCAAAGAAGTCAGGGTTTCCATGGGAATTCCTGAGAATCATGGACAACTAAAGCCTGAGGCCAACTGGGGACAGAATTAGAAACTCAGCTCCAGCCCCGGGAGAAAGGGGGCAAGAGGCCAGGTGCTACTGGCCAGCAAGAAGGGCTCAAAGCCATGAGCCCACTCAGGGCACTAAGCTGGCTCAAAGCCAAGACAGGAGGAGGGAAGGAGTAACTTTGCAAAGTTTATGTTTCTAATCCTAAGGAAATGTTAGCTTTTTCCTGAGTTGATTTTAGACACTGCTTATAAAATTCTATCCCAGTTTCCTTACAATTGTGCACAGGTCAATTTCTTCTCTTCTTTATGTTTCCTCTCTCTTGCTTCACTGTTTCCCTCCGGTCTGTTCCAAACTGATCCTCACGCTCACACTGCCTTTGGAGAAGATCTCTTATTAAAGTCTTTGTGATGTGGGGTGGGGGACATAGGGGTAAAGGGGAAGAGGGTGGGCCATTATCAATAATGGCCTAGTTTCTGATCATTTCCTCTTGGGCTCAAGTTTAAACGAACTAGGCGCACACCTTAGCTATTCCCATACTAACCTAAAGGGCCAAGACAGGAATTACCACTCATTGACATTTTCCTCACATATAGCAAAGCACTTTCCGGACACCAAAGAGAGATGATCCTCACTGGATCCTTTTGGCACATGGGGAGGAAATGCATTGTTGTAATGAATGGAAGAGAAGGGTTTCTGTGCCACGGCCACACAGGGCTTGGCCTAGGTCATCACACCCTTCCTAGAAGGTTTAGGGGACTTCCATGGGAAGCCCATGAACTGGCAAAGAATGTTCTACTTCTTTAGGACGCAAGCAGTAAACTCCAAGCATCACATCTGTGGCTGCCCAATTCCTTCTCTAAACTCCACTCCCCAGAATTGCTGGAGACACAGAGAATGGTTTATGACCAGAGTGAAGGCTTTATGAGCAATAGATAACAAAAGTACATACCAAACCGTGAGTACATATATCTGTACTCAGAGTTTATGACCAGTATGAAAGTTATATGAGCAAAAGATAATAAAGGCACATGTGTCTATACTCTTTGACTTAGTGATTCTACTTCTGGGTAATAAACATAAGCATAAAAGTCATTAAAGTTTTTGAAATGGTAAAAGGCCAGAAATAACTCAAAAGCCCATCAATGAGGAAACTGGTTGAATAAATTATGGTATACCCACACAATAGAATTCTATGTAGTAGTAAAAAGGAACAAGGAAAGATTTTAGGTAATGCCACTGAAAGCTTTCCAAGACACATTGTTATGTTAAAAAAGCAAGGCATGGCACATGTGGATTGCCTTCTACTGTTTGCATTAAGAAGAGGGGAAAAATTTAGAACACATGTACATTTGAATTTTCTTGTTATGCAAAAAGCAACTGAAAGGACACACACAAAACAGCAAGTTGCTACCTTGGAGCAAGTTTAGAGATAGGCAGATAGAGGATGGGTGTTGGAAGTAGACTTCTCACTGACAGTGATGACAAAAAGACCGGCTAAGAAATAAATATTAGCTGTCAGTAAATAGAGAAGATGTTACTGATTCAGAAGGTGATAAAAATTGTAGGTGTTCTTTCCCTCAGAACGATGCTATGACCCGTCTAAAAAGGTATGTCATTACCCCTGTTTACAAATAGCTCTAGTTTTCTAATTTATGACTTTAGGCCTCTTCCACAGACACACTGCTTGTCATGGGATATCCCCTTACCTATCATGTGACATGTTAAAGACCTGGAGTGTGACAGGCGAGGCTGCGGGCTGATAGGTACTCCCCTTATTTATTTTCTGCATGTAGAATCTTAGGAAGCCTTCTTTTAAATTCTGAGTCTGTGCATTTAATGCCCATAATAATGATACTTTTTTTGTACATTGTTTTTGCTTATTTCATTGTTTTTTAATTTTCTAATTATAGTTAATATTCAATATTATTTTATTTTAGTTTCAGGTCTATAGCATAGTGCTTAGACATTTATATACTTTATAAAGTGGTCCTCCAATATTTAATACTTTTTAAAACAATCTGAACTAGTGACTATCACCTATTAAGAGCTTTTTAAAAAACTGATAAGACCTGTCACAAGAAAATAGCAAACTCTAAATCCAGCTCCAGTTACTATCTAGAAATATAGCTTCTCTTCTTTATTAAAGCTTGAAGGAAGAATTTCTGGGTTATATCTTGACATGCAAATTAGCACCTTGCTACTATTAATATTTTACCCTTTGTGAAAGAGCTATTTTATGTCTTAAGAGTTATTTATGTCAGGAAGTCATAAACAAAGATACAGAAGATACAGAATCATCTTAACCCCTTAAAGTGGGTTAAGATCCCCCTTGGAATAATATCCCAGAATAGCACTGAGAACCATGGTCTCTTCACAGAGAGTCAACCCTGAATGTGGCAGGAGTAAGTTCAGGACCACCACCAATCTGTATGAGCATTAGAGTGAACTACAAAGTGAAGTTCATTTCTCTACATATCTCACCACATCTAACAACTAGCAAATCAATCTAATATACTCATTCTGCTGAGTATATTAGGTACTTTAATGTCACCTACCAGAACATTTTTTCATAATAAACCTTAAACTCTAGATGAGATGGCATTCCCTGGCGTTGTACAGTACACACCTGCCCCACCACACACAGCCCTGAGCAGGTTGTGTCAGGGGTTAAGCACCGGCCCCAGCAGCAGCATGGTCGCTGACAGGCCAGGGTCACTACTGCAGCTCTCAGGTTGGATTGCCACACTTCATAGAGTTGGCTGTTAAGGAAACGATTCAACCTAAACAGTTTCAGGTAATTTATTACCTACACATGTGAGGTCAGCACTGGGTCAGCTCCTCATATCCCTAGTCCCAAGGAATGAGACCAAATCAGGGGGGAACCACATGATTTGTGGCAATAACTCCAAACTAAAGCCAAGCAGCTTTATAGCGTGCGGCCACAACATTAGGGGACTGGAAGTCCTGTGCTTAATTGAGATAAAGGAAGACAGTGTGGGGATCTCAAGGTAGGAGGGTGGGTGATGGCCTCATGGCAGTTCTTCCCAAGCCACCTCATCTTCCTTTGTTTCAGAAGGAATCGCAGGACTTTCAACCAAAACTTGGGCCAGAATGCAGTTAAGCTTTGCCTCGCGGTCTGTGTGAAGACGTCCCCAGGGTGCCAGGATGGGGCTGTTCCCCTACATTGATGAAATATGGCGGAGTTCAGACATTTTAGTAACTCAAAGGACAAGAGAGACCAGGAGGGACGAAGTAAAGAGCCTAAAACAAACAGAACTTATTGCCAAGGAACAGAAATTGATTCTCTGGAGGATTTGTGCAACTGTTTGCAAGAAGACTCCAGCTCTCTGCATTGCTCATTGGTGGGGGTCAGGGAGAAGGTGGCTTTAACTAGAAAGGGGATAGATGACAGACACCAAAAACGACAGCCTATCACAGCCCCTCTGCTTGTTCCTTAAAGGTCTCCCACTTCAGCAAGATGATACTGCCCAAAACAATGCCACTGCTGTTGTTCCTGGTCTCCCAGATAGCCATCTGCCTCATATTCACCCATTTTTACAGCAACAACTTCAACTCCCCATCTAGGAGGGAGGGGCTCAAGACCATGCACGTCCTGGTCCTGTCTTCCTGGCGCTCTGGCTCTTCTTTAGTGGGGCAGCTTTTTGGGCAGCACCCAGATGTCTTCTACCTTATGGAGCCTACCTGGCACATCTGGGGGACCTTCACACAAAGCACTCCATGGAGGCTGCATATGGCGATGCGGGATTTGATACGTGCCGTCTTTCTGTGTGACATGAGTGTCTTTGACGCCTACATGGAACCTGGTCCCCGAAAACAGTCCAGCATCTTCCAGTGGGAAACCAGCCGGGCCTTGTGTTCCCCACCGGCCTGCGACATCTTCCCTCGGGATATGATCATACCCCGTGCTCACTGCAAGCTCCTGTGCAGTAAGCAGCCCTTTGAGGTGGTAGAGAAGGCCTGTCGCACCTACAGCCACGTGGTGGTCAAGGAGGTGCGTTTCTTCAACCTGCAGGTACTCTACCCACTACTGAGGGACCCTTCCCTCAATCTGCACATTATACACCTGGTCCGGGACCCTCGAGCAATGTTTCGTTCCCGAGAACACACCAGGGAGGAACTCACGATTGACGACAAAATTGTGATGGGACAGGAGTGGCAGAAACTCAAGGAGGATGACCGCCCCTACTACGCGTTGCAGGTCATCTGCCAAAGCCAGCTAGAGATCTATAAGGCCGTGCAGACTTTGCCCAAAGCCCTCAAGCAGCGCTACCTGCTCATACGCTATGAGGACCTGGTCCGAGACCCCCTGGCCCAGACTGCTCGAATGTATGGACATGCAGGGTTGAAATTCTTGCCCCACCTCCAGACCTGGGTGCGTAACATCACTCGAGGCAAGGGCACAGGTAGTTATGCCTTCTCTACAGATTCCAGGGATGCCCTCAAAACCTCCCAGGCCTGGCGCTGGTCCTTGCCTTACAGCAAGGTTCCTCAGATTCAGAAAGTCTGCGGTGACACCATGAAGTTGTTCGGCTACCACCTCCTCAAATCAGAGCAAGAGCAGAGGAACCTGTCACTGGATCTTCTGTCTGCCTGGAACCCCGCTGGGCAATTCCATGAAGAGGATTAGGAGGCTCTGTCTCCACTCGGCACCAGCCTCAGCCACACTAACTGAAGGCTGCTTCTAACCCTTACTCATCCATATTTTGCCATGTATAATGAGCTCCCATGTATAATGCATACCCATGTTTTTGTGTGCATTACACACGGGATTATTAGACCCATTATTACACCCATGGTATGTAATCATTATACCCACCTCTCCTAACAAGAAGGGATGTTTCTCCCAGTCTTTGCAACATTCCCCAGATCTAGTTGTGTATTACCATCAGTTAAAATTTTATTTTGCCATGGCTTACCTTAGATTTGCTGGAGTAGGAATCTCCCAGGGTGAGGGATGGGAAATATACACAGCAAGTGATCCAAGTGACTCTTCCACAGCCAGCCTGGCAACAGTACAGGCTGCCCTGGCCAGCAGCACTGTCAGCCTTCTTGCTCTAAGACAGGTGACTTTCCATGACATGCCAAGTATCTATACCACTGACTCCTGACACTGGTGCTGTCCTGAGGCTAGAAGGAAATAGGAAGAAGGTCTGTATCTGTCTAGAATTCCATAGTCCTCTGAGTCCTAGCTTTTTTAATAATTCATTTTGCCCAAACCTGAGAGGTAATGTCACTTCATCTTTCCTTGTGTTCCCACTCCCACTCTGACATGGCCCTCAGATCATAAAGCTCCTTGAATGTCAGGTGGTGTCTCTCCCCCTCTCCTCTGCCAAGTAGCTGTTGGGCTTATCACCACCAAAGACACTTAAGAAGCTACCTTTGCCAGCTGGGTCTTTAAAGTTAATTTATATGGGGCTTTAAAGGAGTGAATTTATCCTAACATCTAATCCCAAGCCACTCTAGACACTCCTCAAGAGCCTAGGATCTCCCGAGCAAATGCTCTTGCCTCTACAAACATAAGACAGTCTAACAAAAGGTCACGCTCTATCACCTCTTTAAAAATCCAGTGTTGAGAGATACGTCGTAAGCAATGGAACAGTCTCCTGGCCATGCGTTCTGGTGGCTGACACTGGATTCAGTGATAAGAGTGGCAGTACACCCGCCATGGATATGGGGAGTCCGGGGAGCTGAGAACCTGTGAAGAGCATAGAAGATGGTGTTCTAGGAAACAGCCTTTCTAATTTGGAGACATCTGTTCCATCCCCAAATCCCAGCAACAGAGAAGGTATCCGCTTGTCTCCTCAGCCTAGTTAGCTACATGGGGCATGAGGATGTTCAAACATAGATGACGGATGAATCTGATCTGACCTTCTCAGGCTAGTATTCAGATTTGGGGAACAAGGTCTCTTCTGTCTACATCAAGCATAATGGCCTCAACTGCCTCATTTCAGGACAAAAATTCATGGCTTAAAAGAAAATCATACTGGGTAACTACCCTAAGCTCTCTCCACTTTGGGGAGAGAAAGGTGTCAAACGTTGTAAACAGTTTTTTTTGAAGGGTGAGAAAGATAGTTTTGAAACAAAGAGGCTTTGACTGTTTACTGTTACTATGTGGCTTCATTTTCTAGATGAGAGCAATTGCTAAGTTTTTTGTAAATGTTAATCAAAACTATTTTTTCAACTTATTAATAGTAGTAATGGAGAGACATGGGAAGGTTGAATCAACTTTTGTAACTTTTGTGCAAAAGTCTGCCATTATTTTGTCTATAACATGTATCTCAGAAAACGGTTTATAATTTACTATGTGATTTAAACCCAAGCTAAATTAAATTAACTTTACTGACTATGTACATTACCATGACTACTATTAAATTACTTTCACAGGCTAGCAAAGCAAAATTAAAAATGAATATATGTGAGTGACACAGGCCAATCAACAACAAATCTCTGAGAGTCATTTGCTGGGGATCCCCAACACCCTGGGATTTCTGCTGAAGGCTATATCCCTCTTCTGCATAAAATGTTCCTGGTCAAAAAAAAAGTTCCCGGTCATTCAGAGAAAGGTTATTTTTTAAATACAATATTGAGGAAAAATAATTATAAATATCCAGAGTAAAGAGATTTGAATACAGCATTTCAGTTAAAGGGATTCTTCATTCAGTTCATACATTTAATGGACATCTACTATGTGCCGAGGAATGGCTGAGGTGCTATGGATACAGCAGCAAACAATAGGCAAAGCCCCTCCTTTTATGCAGCTTATATTTCAGTCAGGCCATTTCTCCCACTTGGAATACCCTATTCTGTTCTGCCCCAATTTCTCTGGCTTGTTTTTGTGATCCCTCAGTTCTCAACTAAAGCACCTCCTCTGGCAGTTTTCCTGGTTTTATCCTTAAGCCTCTATTGAATGTCACGTAGACAGGCTTTCCACTATCGTAAAATTATCACACTATAATAAAACCCTCCAATTTCCATATTTTAGCTCTTTGAGGGCAGACACTATCTTACTCACTCTGGTATAACCAATGCCTAGCACAGCTCCTAGCACACTCAATAAATAACGATCTCATCCGCATTTTCATAAAGGGCTCATTCTGTATGTAATACTTAGATAAAAGGCCAATCACAGAAACTTCTATTCTGAGAAACACAGTGACATTTAAAGATTCAAATAAGAAAGAACTGACATTTAAGTTCTGTGTTTGAGAGAAAGGAGAGAAGCTGAATCTTAAAGCTGACAGCTTAGAAGTGCTGAGTCAAGTGGGGTGGCAGGTGGAAAGAGAGGAATGAAGATGAGATTGGAGAATTAGATTGACTAGTATTTCTTTTTTTTTATTTTATTGATTATGCCATTACAGTTGTTCTATTCCCCCCTTCATTCCCCTCCACCCTGCATCCCCCCGCCCCCACCATTCCCCTCTTTAGTTTATGACCACGTGTCTCAAGTTCTTTAGATTCTATATTTCCCCTACTATTCTTGCCCTCCCCCCTATTTATTTTCTACCTACTGTCTATGCTACTTATTCTCTGTACCTTCTCCCCCCTTCTCCTCCTCCCACTCCCCTGTTGCTAACCCTCCATGTGATCTTCATTTCTATGGTTCTGCTCCTGATCTAGCTGTCTGCTTAGTTTGCTTTTGTTTTAGATGTGGTTGTTAATAACTGTGAGTTTGCTGTCCTTTCACTGTTCATCTTTTTTATCTTCTTTTTCTTAGATAAGTCCCTTTAACATTTCATATGATAAGGGCTTGGTGATGATGAACTCCTTGAACTTGACCTTATCTGAGGAGCACTTTATCTGCCCTTCCATTCTAAATGAAAGCTTTGCTGGATAGAGCAATCTTGGTTGTAGGTCTTTGGATTTCATGACTTGGAATACTTCTTTCCAGCCCCTTCTTGCCTGTAAGGTCTCTTTTGAGAAATCTGCTGACAGTCTGATGGGAACTCCTTTGTAGGTGACTGTCCCCTTAGCTCTTGCTGCTTCTAGGATTCTCTCCTTCATCTTAATCTTGGCTAATATAATGATGATGTGCCTTGGTGTGTTCCTTCTTGGGTCCAACTTCTTTGAGACTCTCTGAGCTTCCTGGATTTCCTGGAAGTCTATTGCCTTTGCCAGATTGGGGAAATTCTCCTTTGTTATTTGTTCAAATAAGTTTTCCACTGGTGGCTGTTCCTTTCCCCCTTCTGATACCCCTATAATTCGGATGTTGGAGCGTTTAAAGATGTCCTGGAGGTTCCTAAGTCTCTCCTCATTTTTTTGAATTCTTGGTTCTTCATATTTTCCTGTTTGGTCATTTTTTCCTTCCTTCTGGCTCACTCCCTTGATTTGAGTCCCAGTTTCCTTTTCATCACTATTGGTTTCCTGTGCATTACCATTTATTTCAATTAGTTTAGCCTTCATATGTTCCTCTAATTTGAGACTAAAATCAACCAGTTCTGTGAGCATTCTGATCACCAGTGTTTTGAACTGTGCATCTGAAAGTTTTGCTATTTTTTCATCACTTAGAGTTATGGGCTCTGGGGCTTTGAGATCTTCTTGAGCCATTTTTGGTCTGTTTGCACCCGTTAAGTATGAGGAACGGAACCTTAGCCTGGTGTTTACCAGGGCGGGGCCACCCAGGTCGCTGAGTTGTGACGCTGTATGTGGGGGCAGGGTCAGAGCAGGGAAATGGCAGCCCCCTCTGCTGCCTCTCGCCACTGGGGCCTGCTCGGTCCCATCTCACCACCCACTCCCTCGCTGGTCTATCTGCACACGAATGCGCAGTCCACAGTCAACCTGCTGCCCTACGCCCTCGCTGGGTCCACCCGATGCAAACCCCACGCCTGGGATCCGCACGCCAAAGTCCATCTGACTAAGTTTTCCTGTGCAACCCCGATCCGCCAGCTGCTGGCTTCGCCCCTCTTATTGGTCAGGCTGAAGAATTTGTTGCTATCAGACTTCAGAAAAGTTCAATTTTCTGTGTTCTGGCTGTGTTTTCTGTTGCTAATATTTTGTTGTCTCTAAACTTGGTTGTGTGAGAAAGCATGGCGTCTCCACCTATGCCTCCATCTTGGCGGAGGTCCTCTGACTAGTATTTCTAATAGTGATATTACCATGGCAAGAGAAAATTGCGTTGGGTTTTCTGAGGAGCTGCATGTGTTCATAGGGAACAGCATGTGAACTCACCAAGTGCCATCTGGAAGCATTTGGCAAATAATTGCTTACTGATTGCCTTCCGATTGGTTTTTAGCCAAATCTCCAAGCAGAGAGTTTCTGGCTTGTTTTTTATTGCCTCTCCACCATCATATTGGCAAAGTATAGTTAAAGGAGTGGCCTAGGAGAATAGAGTCATCTTTGGTTCTTTCTTGTCTTTCACTGTCCACATCCTATTCATCAGCATGTCAACTTGACTTCCAAAATACACCCCGAATCAGACCACCTCTCCCCGTCTCCAGTGAATGTTACGGTGTGCATCCAAACCAACCTCAAATGTCACCTGAATTACTGACAGAGCCTCCTAGTGGCTTTCTTGTCTCTTTGTGCCCTTCAGAGTTCACCTTCCATTTACTAACCATAGTGACCTACCTAAAGGGTAAATTAGATGTCAATTCTTTGCCTACAGTCCTCTAGTAAACAGCCCAGGTGACTATAAATTGGAGAATGGACCCCAAAAATGGTAAATTCGTATCATGCAATAATATTCAGCAATAAAAAGAAATGAACTACTGATTCCTCCAACATGAATGCCTCTCAGAAGCATTAGGGTAAGTTTTACAGGAAACAGTTTATACTGTATGGCTTTTTTTTTATATACAGTTCCAAAACAGGAAAAACTAACATGGTAGGGAAAAAATCGTAACAGTAGTTACCTCTGGGGGACAGGAAGTGGTGGTGATTGACTGGGAAGAGACATGAGGGAACTTTGTTGGAGGAAGGGGGAATGCAAATGTTTTATATCCTGATAGGAGTGTGGGTTGCCTAGGTGCATGAATTTTTCAGAACTCAATGATAGTGCAACTTAAGAATTATATATTTCATTGTATATAAATTTTATCTCAAAAGTTAAAAAACTGCAAATGAATACTAAATTCTACTTTGTAACTTATATAAATATCTAACTACTGTCACTGTACACATATGTACACATCTATTGGCATGTGCCCCAACTGGAAATGGAACCGGCAACCTTTCAGTTTGCAGGCTGGCTCTCAATCCACTGAGTGCCACACCAGTTGGGGCCAATTTATACTTCTTAACCCCCGAACCTTTCCCCCCACTCTCTCCCTTCCCCATCCCAGCTGATAACCCTCCAAATGATTTCCATATCTGACTCTGTTCCTGTTCTGCTTGTTTGCTTAGTTTGTTTTTTAGATTCAGTTATTGACAGTTGTGAATTTGTTTCCATTTTAATGGTTATAGTTTTGATCTTTTTCTTAAATAAGTCCCTTTAACATTTCATATAATAATGGCTTGGTGATGATGAATTCCTTGAGCTTCACCTTGTCTGGGAAGCATTTTATCTGCCCTTGCATTCTAACTGATAGCTTTGCCAGATAGAGTAATCTAGGTTGTAGGTCCTTGCTTTTCATCACTTTGAATACTTCTTGACAGTCCCTTCTAGCCTGCAAATTTTCTCTTGAAAAATCACCTGACAGTCTCATGGGAACCCCTTTGTAGGGAATTAATGGCTTTTCTCTTACTGCATTTAAGAGTTTCTCTTTCTCTTTAACCTTTGGCATTTTAATTATGATGTGAGCTGGTATGGACCTCTTTGGGTCCAACTTGCTCAGGACTCTTTGTTCTTCCTGGACTTGTATGTCTATTTCCTTCACTAAATCAGAGAAGTTTTCTTTCATTATTTTTTTCAAATAAGTTTTCAATTTCTTGCTCTTCTTCTTCTGCTTCTGGTATCCCTATGATTTGGATGTTGGCACATTTGGAGATGTCCCAGAGGCCCCTTATACTATTCTCATTTTTTTAATTCTTTTTTCTTCTTTCTGTTCTGATTGAATGCTTATTTCTTCCTTATGTTCCAAATTGTTGATTTGAATCTTGGCTTCATCCCCTCCACTGTTGGTTCTTGTAGATTTTTCTTTATTTCTCTTAATACAATCTTCATTTCTTCCTGGTTTTTTTTTATGGTATTAAAATATCCAGTGATTTCTTTGAGCATCCTGATAACCAGTATTTTGAACTATGCCTCTGATATGTTGCTTATATCCATTTCACTTTGTTCTTTTCCTACAATTTTGTTCTATTCTTTCATTTGGGCCATATTTTTCTTTTTTGTCTCCTCAGTTTGGCAGCTTCCTTGTTATTGTTTCTGTGTATCTGGTAGAGCTGCTTTGACTCCCTGTCTTAGTATCATGGCCTACTGTAGAAAAGGCACCTGTAAATTGTGTAGGGCGGAGACTTAGGTAATCACTAGGGCAAGGCAACCTACTTCACCACTTTGTGGCTCTGTGTTGAGGGGTTGGAGAGAGGGCATGGAGAGGGGACAATACTGCTGCCTAGCTTCTGGAGGTTTCCCCAGCATTCACCCTGTTTCCAGTCAGTTTATTTTCTCCCCATGTGCAACTGGGGCCCTTCCAGCTGTTGCCCTGGTACTGAATACCAGAGGGGGTGGGTCTGAATAAGTTCTAAGTCCCTGTGGGCCCTTTAAGAGGCATCTACTAAAAATCTGGTAGTTTCTTCCATTGCCCCAATCCCCACTGGTTTTTACAGCCAGAAGTTATAGGGATTGATCTTCCTGGCACTGGAACCCTAGGCTGTGTGGTCTGGCCTGGGACTGGGATCCCTCACTCCTGAGGTATCCCTCCTGGCTTTTATCCACCACACATGAATGTGGGACCACCCGTTCTCCTGCCTCTCTGTGTCACACTGCATCTTTGTGCCTCTCTGCCTCTCTCCATGTCTCTACCCCTCCTACCCATCTGGATGAAATGTGGCTTCATTAAATGCTTGGTTGCTGGCCCTGGCTGGTGTGGCTCAGTGGATTGAGTGCCAGCTTGGGAACCAAAAGATCACTGGTTTGATTCCCAGTCAGGGCACATGTCTGGATTTCAGGCCAGGTCCCCAGTAGGGGGCATGTGAGAGGCAACCACACACTGATATTTCTCTCCCTCTCTTTCTCCCTCACTTCCCCTCTCTCTAAAGATAAATAAAATCTTTAAAATATATAAATAAATAAATCCTTGGTTGTTGGACGAAATTCCATACAGCTCAATTTTCTGACAGTTCTCAGTGATATTTGTTTTGAGGTCTAGTCGTAATTTTTTCTGTAGTTGTGGGAGGAAGAAGAACATGTTTACCTATGCCTCCATCTTAATCAGAGGTCTTCCTGTTTGAATTCTTTTACAATTCTTTATAATATCTTTCAGTGCCTGAAACCATCTTAGTTACTTGTTTGCATGTTTGTTTTCTGTCTCCCCTACTACTAGATGTTTCTGTCTTGTTTGTCCTCATAGAAAATGCTCAATGAATATGTGATGCAAATCCCACACCAACATGATAAATCCAAAATGAAAGCATGGGCAAACTGTTTGAAACCTTCCAACCACTCCTCCAATTTCTCATGACCACAAATAATATTTCCATCACCTAGTCTAGTCTTTCATCACCTGGGTGCTTATTAAAATTACAAACTTTTAGGCCACACCTCCACAGAGTCATCAGTCTCTGCTTTTACACTCCTGCCTGCCTTGAGAAACAAATATTTTTTTAAAAAGGGTAAGAACAAAGTCTGTGTGACAGTCTGAGTAGTGCTTCTGTGCATCAAACTAGACACTAGACACTAGGATTATTGACTATACAGGAGAAACTGGAATGAACCTACCATAACTTTTCATGGGGAAAGTTCAAGTTCTTAGTTGCATTTGCTCTTCTCCTTCCCAGGGGTAGGGTGGAGTCACTGGGCTTAATAACTGCTACATATTAGAATCAAAGGCTCAAATAATTTAAGTGCTAGAAGTGACTTCAGATTGTACTTGTTTCCCTCTTATAACTTATATCCAAAATATCAATATATCACCTTCCATGAACTCTTCACTATTCAAAGCATTTTCTGTAGACCAGCAACACCAGCCTTACCTCGAAGCTTGTTGGGAAATGCAAGATTTCAGACCCCATTCCAGAGCTATGGAATCAGAATTTGCAATTTCACATGACCCCCAGGTGATGTGTACAGTTTAAGAAACACCACAGCAATTTCTGGACATACTGAACCAGTGTCTACTATTGCCAAAAACATGTTATCTACCGTTAGCGCTTACCTGCCAAAATGGACCAAGAGAATGAGGAGAAATGATGAATGAACCGTTTTCCCAAATGGCCATTGTAGAATTCGTGGACCTGTGTGTTAGGGAAAAGAGGTTCAAAGGATGACACTTGAAAGTAGTTCCAAAGTTTTGAATATGGTTTGGTTTTTAGATAACATGAAGACATTTTAAATTTTGCTAGGTATTATGGTAGTGTTGTAGAAAAATGAAGGCAGGAAGGAAGGAAAGAACAGAGAGAGGAAGAAAGACAGAAAAGTTCCTATCTGTTAATGTTGTATCATATTAAAGTATTTATGGGTGAATTCATATGCTATATTGGATTTGCTTTAAAATGCACCAGAGAAAAAAGTGAGGGAATACAAGAAATTGGTGAAATGGTGATAATTTCTGGAAATGAGTGAATACACTGAGATTATTATATACTCTCCCTACTTTTGTATATATTTGAAAGTTTTATAATAAAAACAAAAAAATTTTTAAAGTAGTCTCAAGACTGATAGCTACCAGCCTTACCAAGAGGCACTTGTGGTGGGAAAATATAGTCAGAAATATTATTGTGTATCTGCCCCAAAGTGAAGGCTGAATGGAAACAGGCAAGAAATAAGGTTTATGGTCCAGACCCCTTCGGTACATTCCTTCACTCAATCCAGCACCTTAACTAAGTGACAGAATATAACATCATCAATTACGGGGTAAACTGGTATTGTATGTCCCCTGGTGGAGTGTATCAGGAAGAACACACATCGCTGCTGCTGAAAATGTTTAACTCAAACCTAATCATGAGTCAACGGCTGGGACATTCTATCAGACAATAGGCCTGAACTCTAAATTGTCACTATCATGAAAGGCAAAAAAAATTTTTTTTAAACAGGCATACTGCTTTAAATTAGAGATGACTTAAGAGATATGACATCTAAATGCAATGGATGGACTTTGATTGGAGCTAGATTCAAAAAAGAAAGGCTGGAAAAAAGCCATTAGAACAATTAGAAACTTTAAGAATGAACAGTGTGCTAGATATTTCTGAAAAAATATTAAATGTTTTGGGTGTAACTAAAAAAAGAGAACCAATCTTATGAGGTAAGTGGTAACCCCTTTTAGAGACTGGAAAACTGAGGTTCAGAGACAGGATGTCTTGCACAAGAGCCCATGGCAGTTAATGGCATTGCCAGATTGGGCCCATATCTCTCTGCCTCCAGAGCACGAGCTCTTGGCTGACGGATGCTTTTCCTCAGCAGCAGCCCCAGGAAGTAAGAGATAGGACTGTGGTCTACAGTGTGTCCCAGGGAATGGTAGTGGGTAAAGAGGCACCATTCACTGTTGTCACGGCACCAGCAGTCATTCAGTTATTTAAAATTAATTGTTGGGTGACAATGATAAGCAAAAGCAGGCATTCCCTGGACTCAGACTGCAGCCTAGTGAAGGAGACAGACATTACTCAAATGCTGGAACCATTGAAAGAAACGTATAGTAACAAAAAAAAAAATTAGAGCAATGATGGAAAGAAAGTTGACCAAAAGTGGAGGGTCAGAAGAAGACTTCCATGAGTTGTGCTCCGAAGAATGAATTGTTGTGGACTGCCTGCGTTTCAGGAATTGTAACTCTCTACCCCCTGTGGCTAAGGATGAGGGAGCGAACACCTCTGGAATGCAAGCCGCAGGAGACAAAGCTTGTCTCTGGTAGCAAATGCTGCCTCAGTTTCCTCCCTGCCCCCAAAGCATGGTTGGAAGTCCTTGACGGGTAAGACCTCTCAGAGAGGGGAAACCTAGGCCAGACTCGATCACTTGGGAGGCCTTCATGGAAGGACTGGGGGGCGGGTGCTGCAACAAAGAGCAATGGACTCTTGCTCTGAAGCTTTGAGATAGCCCAAGTCCCCATGTCCTCTGGGAAAAGCGCTTCCTGGCTCTAATCCCCTTAAGCCTGAATATCTGATGGAGAGGGGTGCAGCTCTTTGCCTTGCTAGAGCATGTCGCTGGGGGAACATCTGGCATCACAAAGAATTCCTGAAAAACCTGTGAAATCTGCTCTGCTAAGAGTGCTTTCATTCACATGTTAAGGGTCTGAGTAGGAAACCCTAAAACTCTGTTCCTGACAGACTCTGAGTCAGACTAAGCCCTCAGATTTCTTTCAAATGTTATCTACTGCTTGATCCTTGCCACCCTGTATTCCTGTGTATTACAACCTAATAAAAGTCCTTAGAGAAAGGGGCTCAAGGCCTTTGCCCCTGAGAAACTGGCCACTGCTCAAGGCCTTTTTCCTCTGGGAAACTGGCCACCTCTCCTCCCGAAGCAGATCAGATCATGTCTCAGTCATGTTTACTCTCATCCGTGGCACACGGGGTGACGTGCGAGGAAAGTCGCCCCCACAATGAATAGAAGTTAATGATATAGACAAAGGAAAGAGTAAGAGCAAGAAGCCTATGGCAAGAGGGGGAAGCCAGACCTTACAGCAGGAAAGGCCCAAGAGCTAGCAGGTATGTGGTAAGAAGTGAGACTGGAGGAAAGCAGGTAGCTCCAGACTATGGACCCTGAAGGCCATGCTGGAGAGTCTGTTCAATTCTTAAAGCAATGGAAAGTTATTAAGGGGGTTAAGCAAGTGACAAAATCAGACTTCATGTTAAAAAATAAAACAACACACCACCACTTTGGCTGCAACATTGAGAGGATGGCTAGACAGAATAGGTGTTGTTAGATCAGTTAAGAGACTGTGGCAGCCAGTGGTCACTTGAACTAGAGTGAGCAGTGGAGATGCAATGCCAGATCCAAGGTATATTTGGGAGGACTGGAAATGGGGAAATGCAGGAAAAGTAGAGGTTGAAGGTGATTCTTAGGTTTCTAGCTTATGCATGGATGGAGATGCCATTCCCTGAGAGAAGGGACACTGAAAGAAGGTCGGATTCAGGAAGATTTGAGCGAGCTTTTGGATATAAAGAATTGGTGGTACTTTTGAGATGTCCAGGTGAAGATGGGAGGAAGCAGTTGGAGATGCAAGTGTGAAGTTCAAGAGAGAAGTCTAGACTAGAGATGTACATGGGGAATCAACAACTTTTGATTACTGAGGTAGGAATAACATGGTTTCAGAAAGGGAGGATTTAGCCAATGGAAACCTCTGGGATTTGATGATTTATAAAGAGAAGGCAGGAGTTGATGCAGAAGTACTGGAAGGGAGAAGTGGAGGGGCTGAGTGAAGATCCTGAGGGACAAGTTGTGGGCTAGGGGAAAGCCTTCATGTCGCCCTCTGCCTCTAGATGCACCGCATTCCTGCCAGCAGTGGCATGGTCCTCACCAGTGCTGGAGGACAGCCCAGCTTCCTTCTCCACCTGGCAGGTTCTATCACTCACCCTCCAGGCAAGCCTCGGCCTGCGACCTGCACGTCTGCTGTCCCTGCTTCATGGGAAAGCACTCTAGTCCTGGGCTTCGCTCCTGGTGTTCCCCAAATTATACCATAATTAATTTATTAATTAACTTAGCTATTAAACAATCCCTTAGTGATGGGCAAAATTTATGGGCAAAAATTATGGTAACTATACCATGGAATACTATGTAGCAGGAGACAGACAGACAGAGAAATTTTTCTGTGTGCACATACGGAAAGCCCCCAAAAGCAAAGCACAGAACTGTGATTTCATGCTCTCTTTTGTACTGGGGGAAGAATTTAAACCTGGATTTTAATTTGTATATGCCTAGAGACACCATGGAATACATGAGACTAAACAGAGTAACCTCACAGGGGATAAGGCAGGTCAGATTGGGAAGATGAGGAACAAGGATGAAAGGAGAACTACTACTATATGACTTTACAAATTTATTTATTTATTTATTTATTTATTTTTAGAGAGAGGGGAAGAAAAAGGAGAAAGAGAGGGAGAGAAACATCAATGTGTGGTTGCCTCTCATGTGTCCTCTACTGGGGACCTGGCCTGCAACCCAGGCATGTGCCCTGACTGGGAATAGAACCAGTGACCCTTTGCTGCACAGGCCCGTGCTCAATCTACTGAGCTACACCAGCCAAGGCCTATATGACTTTTCATACTTAAAATTTTCTGATTTTTGTGAATGTATTACCTATTCAAAAAAACCAAATTTAAAAACTTGGAAAAATGATGTTTTCCAATGTAAATTTCATGAGTTACATATTTCATATTTTTAATGAAACTGATTTTACCTAGTTTACTATTTTTATCATTAATTTTAAGACAGTTATAGACTCACAAGAAGTTGTGAGAAATAATACACAGAGGTCCCAGTATGCCCTTTACCCAGCACCCCCCACCCCATAACTTTTTGCAAAGCTATAGTATGACATCACAACTAGAGCATTAACATTGGTACAGTCAAGATACAGACAACTTCTATCATAATTGTGCACTATTTTTTTAGTCCTGAGAATATGTGACCTAGTAAATGAAATAACACACTATACAAATCATTGCATCTAGTATAAATCCACCTTTTAAAAAAAATGTCCAAAAGAAAAATCCAGCACAGCCAAATGGGAATACTGGTTATCTCTGGGCATGAGGATTACTGGTGGTTTAACTTTTCCTTTTTCATTTTATAGTTGTTGTTGTTTTTTAGGTTAGAATCATGTATCATGCAATTAACCATTTAAAACTGTATGAATCAATGGCATTTAGTGCATTCACAATGTTGTACAACTACCTCTCTTTAGTTTCAAAACTTTTTCCTCACCCCATATCTATTAAAAAGCTTGATAACCTTAACTCCTCTCCCCCACCTCCCAACAACCTCTAAGCTACTTTCTGTCTCTATAAATTTACCTATTTTCTGGGTATTCTATACAGAAAGAATCATGCATTTCATTACAGAGCTCTGCCTTTTCAACTCAAGGCTTCTAAGGACACGCTGGTGCAGTATTTGTAAAAGGATTGTCAACACAGGGCTGAGGGCCCCGTGAGCCTGGAGACCATGCGCCAAGGATACAATTTACCTTATTTTTATTTTAAGTATAGAAATAGAGGAGGTTTGGGATTAGATTAATTTCCAGTACAGACTCTGCATGGTAGATGTTGTATAGAAAAATAAGGAAGCTAAGAAGCTGAAGTGGCTGCTAACAGTGTGAGTGAATACTGCACCATGGGTATATACTGGAAAGAAACAGTGCAAGGGAGTTAAAGAATTTAGTGGAAACATGTAGAGAGTTTAGAGGGCTCAATAAATATCAAGGGTCAAGGTGTAAATCTGTCTGAGTTGAAGGGTGAGCTTCAACTCAGAAGCTCATCCTTCAACTCAGGTGAGTAAGTGCAAGGTGTGGTGAGTAAATTAGTCACTAGGGTTTAAATTCCTAAAATAGTCGAATCTGAGATAATGATAAAGAACAAAGGTGTGGTTTGAGGAGTGGAAGACCAGATGGGGTAGGGTTTATATCTCCTTTGGGTTCGAGATTGGCAAGAGGCCTTGATTGATGTCAGTCAAAGGATGTTGATCAGGTCATCCACAGAAATACTAAAACTTCACACATGTCAAGGTCCTAAGTAAATAAAGAAGACTGCACTAAAAGAATGTGAAGTAATATATCCTACATTTTAAAGGGAGATAATTGGTGTATGACTAAGAGTAGATATTCTGATAGGACACCAAGGCAGAATCTAGACTATGCGAAAAAAAGCAAATTGAACCAGTTGTACTGCTGGCAGTATCTTCGGGGGAACAGCCAACTCACACTTAAGGCGACGAGGTGAAGGAACCATTCTAAAGAATTGGGGATGGCAGGGAATTGTCTCTGCCATGGAACACAGATTCCAGGAGGAAGTATGTAAGGAAAAAGCAATAGGTTGGAAGGAGCTATGCGAAGTATAGGGATTTTATAGCAATAGCACAAACTAGATAGCATGAACATGTTGGGCTTCAAAACAACTAGATATGCTGAACCACATCTAGCAAACAAATGGGCAGATTCAGAGATAAACTTGCAAGACAGTAAGGGAATCCCTCAAAGAGTACAAATAAAGAGGGGACTCAAAACCAGAACAATAAGAGTGTGCTTATGTTGCTGCTATCTCAGTAACCAAGGGATTCATCATGGGGTACAATGGGTGCAACAACCGGACCCACAGGGGGCATCCAGATTTGCAGATGCCATGCTACCCGATGAAACTTGTTTGAAAAGACACCCAAATTGTTTAAAATAAATAGGAGTCTGGATAAGATGTACTGGGAATTCAGTTATTTTCCCAGGGATTCGGTAATTCAAGCTTTAGAATACTTAAAGATATAGCCCCTCGTGGGTCGTAGTGTGCATGTGTGTGTGGAGCACAGCAGTGGATCCTGGCTGAGAAGGGTCCGAATACGCCAGGGACCATACTTTTGGAAGCTTACAACGGCTCCTGGGAAAGAATTTCTCCTTCCGTTTCACAAATCATCTAACTTGTTGGGCCTGGCCCAGAGCACCGAAAAAGGTTAACAATACCTTGGGATGATCTGTCGACTTCCGGGAAGTCTCCCGCTGTCTGTGGCCCAAGTAGGACACAAAAAGGGAAAGACTCACGCAACAGGGCGTGGGCCCAGATCACAGTCTGGAGAAGAAAATAAAACCCAAGCCCATTACTGAAAATAGTTGGCACCGGTTTAAACGAACTGACCACCACCTTGCTCTCAGGTTCACGCCTGCACCCAGAGTGGCGCCGAGTTGCTGCACGAGCACGCATGCGCCCCGAGCAGCATGGCGCCCGCACTCGCACCTGCGCCTGCGCAGCCGTGGGTTTTCTGCATCTCTCCGCAGGGCCGGGATGTTATTGCGCCCAACTGGGACTTTTGTAGCTGTTACCTAGTAGGCGGTGCTCCGCAAGGGAAGGGAAGGTGAGTTCATACCTGAGAGCCTTTATCCCCAACTGTTTTATACATTCTTTGTTTTATTCTAGGAACGTTCAGATGCTATCTCTCCTGCTATTTTAAAGTAGTCTCCCCAGGGAATTTTGATCTTGTTTGGAAGCAGCCCTTGCACAGGGATCCTTTTTCTTTTTTTAATCTAGAAACACCCAGGATGCGAAGGACGCCTCAGAAATGTCATTTCACCTTGGACCTCACTAGGGCACTGAATTCTAAAGTTGAATAATAGATACTTTGAAGAAAGGAAAGAAAAAAGGAAAACGACCCCCCACCCACCCACACACATTTACATACACATATAATCTCGAAGGATGAACCAGGAAATGCTAACTGTGATTACTTCACGGGAGAAGATACTGAGTGGCTGAGGATGGGCCTGAAGAGTGCATTGTTTGAAGTTTGACCAGTGCGAATGCAGTATTTTTAAATGTTTGAATGTTTGACTCTATCAAAATGTAGACATCAAGAAAATTCAGAAATTTAGCCCTGGCTGGTGTAGCTCAGTGGACTGAGCGGTGGCCTGCGAAGCAGACAATCACGGTTGGATTCCCAGTCAGGGCACATGCCAGGGTTGCAGGCAGGTTCCCTGCAGGCCAGTTCCCAGCAGGGGACGCACGAAAGGCAACCATACATTGATGTTTCTCTCCCTCTCTCCTTCCCTTCCCCTCTAAAGATAAATAAATAAAATCTTTAAAAAAAAAATTCAAATTTAAGAAGTCTGAGTAGGATGTAGTAATACGTGATAGCATATGGGCATTTGAAGGGAAAATGTCTTGTGTGAATACCACGTCTAACTGTTTATTTCTGGACAGAGATCTTTGGGGGTTGAGGAGGCAGTGGGGTACAGGAAAAGAGAAGCCAGGCATTTTCTGAAAATGATCAGCAGTGGCACCATACAGGAAATAAATCCCTATCATCTTGATCGTTGTATATTCCTTTTGGATTTGCTGAAGAAAATCGAAAGGTAAATTTTAGCATGAGCTCACTGAACAGGGACATTTGATGTTTATTTTTATAAAGGAAATTAAGTGGGTGTGACCGGCAGTCTTTAGACCTGAAGTTCCTCTTCCAGATAAGGAAAACTGCCCTTAGTGATGACTCTCCAGACTGACTACGGTGCATTTCTGCCCCAACCTGGCAAGATAACTTCAGATTTCCTCCTGTAAACTAAATGGTGAAGAAAAAAGTAGGCAACTGTGTCCAAGAGGAATTGCAGAAGAAAAGCTCACACTGAAGGAAGATCCTGGACACCTATGATTCCTTGGGTCAACTCAGCTGGTTCACCTTCATTCCCCAGTGGATCTAGACAAGTGTAGGAATTTGGGACCAGAGATTGGGGATCCAAAAAATTGAAAGTGTGAAATTTAAGGCCAGAAGTTAAGGGAAGCCAGAAGTTGAGCTCCCAAATAAAATATTGTAGGAATAGTGTCTCTTAAGTCACTCCAAATGTGACAGGATAGTAGAAAGCTAGGAAAATTCCTGGGCAAGTGGAATGGGGAAACCAAGACAAGAAAATTAAACAAGGCAAAATTGAGCAGTTTACAGCCATCTGGTGAATCATAACACCTTACCTCCCCTAACCAAGGACGTTTGAAAGCCAATGGTTCATACCTCTCCTCCCTAACCAGAGAATACATAGCTTAAATTTCTCTGGTCTGAGAAAATAGAGGACAGAGACCCAATTAATGTCATTTGTGCCAGCTAACCCAAGGACAAATGAAGTCAGGAGAACAAATAACAAAAACCCATTAAAAGACAGACCCAAGATAAAAGTTAAACAGCATAGCTGACCAAAGAATATTCCCAAACCCACCTATGTGCTCATTTTGAAATATCAGCATATTAATAATGCACTTGGAAAGTTGATGAATATTCTGCTGAAACCTTCCCCTAAGATTCTCACCCACAGAAAAAAGGTAAAAAACCCTCAGGACAAAGACTCTGGGCGGCCTGTTTCAGAGCATGCCCATGCCCCTTCCTGGGCACCAACTTTTTATTTCCTCCTAAACTCTAAGAGTCCCAAGGAGACTTGCAGCCAGGGGAGCAGTGGGCAGTGGTAGCTTAATCCTGGGCATACCCTCAATCCTGTCTCCAGAGGCTCCTTTTTCTCTCACTTCCCAGTGAGGTAAAAATAGCCCCACTTTGGCTCACTTTGTGTCTGTGACCTTCACTTCCCAGGGAGCTAACAGCAGTCCCACCTTGGCTCATTCCTTTCCTATGGCTCTTCTGGGGAGCCAAAGCAGAGCACCATCTAGGCTCCCTCCTGTTACTCCTTCCATCCTAAATCCTTCCTTTGTTTCCCTGTCCACAGCCTTAGTAAACATATTTTCAAAATCACCTGGGACTCTTGTGGTGAAATCTTTCCCACACGAACTCAAGAACTCACACACTACAAGCCAGCCTGAGGCAGACCAGCTCCAGGCCGGTTCCTGTCTGGTAACACAAATATCAGTACTTCTACAAAGAAATAAGGCATCAATCAGACTGAACAATCAGCAGCACCTGGGAATAGAAATTTCCCCACAGAAGAGAAAAAAACATCACAAGAGAGGAAAGCATACTTAGTAAACTTTATTTTTTAAAAAAATAAGAACAACAATAATTTATGCCTTTGGCAAAATAAAGGATCTTGTTAATATAAATGCTTCTTAGAAAACATATGAAAAGATAATATAATATATCAATATTAACATTACAGCCAAAATAATAATGATTCTATAATAATGACAAGTGAGGATATTTGTGCCCCTCACAGAGCAGTATTTCTGGAAGGTCCTTTTTTTTTTTTTTTAGTACAGATATGTCTTCATTTTAAGAAAGCCTGATACACACATATCTAAATTTAGAAAGCCAGTCAATCAAAGGATATTTACTTATATTACAAAATAATTCTTTATAAAAAGAAAACAACAGAAGTATTTCTATAAGGGATCCTTCAAATTAGCAAAGTTTCCTGATGTATTTAGAATATAATTAACCAAATACATGTGCCCCAACTTCTTTCATTACAACTATTGCATAAAGTGAGGTATACCTGAAGTTAGGCAGTAACAGAGTTGGGCTTCAGCTCTGACTAGAGAGAGTATGTTCTTATAGAATGAGGGGGAGAGGTTCTCTCATTTGTTTTTCTCATCCTGAGCTTTTAATTTTCTTGTTTCTGCTGCTTTCTGGTAAATACTGTTCACCTGATACTCTCATAAAAAAAAAAGGAGGAAGTCATCATAAAAGGAGGGCATATCAATCAATCAGTCACTCCAGTAGAGCAGAGAGTAAGACAAAAATCTGGGATTTAGAGTGTGTATACAGATATAGCTGGGGTAAAGCAGGGGCAATTTTGAGCCCTCAGTATGCTTTTGAGGCCCCTCTCCTAGTAGGGGCACCTGACTCGAGGAGCAGCAGGGCCCAGTCCAGTTCTACCTGCACGGGACACACTGAGGAGCATGGACTCAGGCCTATTTGTCGCACTCCTCCTGGCTCCCTTCCGCACAATGGTAGTGCTGCTCACAGAACTCCTGGATCCGGCTACAGGCTTCCAGCATCATCACTTCAGGTGCTGTAATTACCACTCGGAAGAAATTCGGGTACTCGAAGCACTGCAAAAATAAGAGCCTGTTATTCTCAGAGCAATTGAATCTAGTAATGAACCACGGCAAAAATGGTGAGGGCCCTCATCAGCAAGAAGCGGTGATGCCATTTACTCAGGGCTATCAATTCATTCAGTTTCCACCACTGGGATGCTAAGTCAGTAGCAGTTAATTCATCTTAAAAGGGACTTGTGGGACAAGGTTGATTTTCCCTCACCTAGAATGTTCCACCATATCTTTTCTTCCCGATATAGATGGGATAATGATGGAGAGAAGCAAATTTTAAGTAGAGGCTATGAGACACATCAGTTTGAATCTTATCAAATGGAGATACACTTCGTTGGGGGAGGAAAGGTCAGGCTAAAGATGAGCTCAGGGACAGCTCCTGAGGCTCTAGAAATTGTTGAGAAGGTCCTGAGAGAGATACAAGCACTCACCGTTGCTGGGAGGCAGTGGACAGACTGTTCAGCAACTAACCGCTCTGTGAATTCCACATCATTCTCAAATTCTGGGAAATGCTCCATTTCAATTTTAACCTATACCAATAACAGGGAGAGGCAAACTTATCAGGAAGAAGGAAAACAGGCCAACTCCTTAAGCTGTGAAATAAGGCAGGGACTGCTGTAAAAAATATCTTGGAACTCTACAACTGATAAGTAATTTGATAAGTAAGTTCTAGCACTTATGAGCTCATGGAATTTTCTACAATGAAGAGATAATATGTTTACATTGATATTTTCGTTTATTGAAGGGTTACTTCCTGTATGCTGATAAGTGAAAGCTGGAAATAGAACACCAGTGTTTCACCTAAAAGGTACTACTAGCCTCATGGCCAGGTAATTCTTGATTGTGTGGAACTATCCCACCCATTGCAAGATATTTAGCACGCCTGTCCCACACAATGCCAACAACATCCCCAGTCATCCTAAGTTCCTGTACATTCCCAAACACCCCTCGGGGACCAGTATCATTCCCAGTTGAGAACTACAGTGGTGTAGAGAGCCTCTTATTTATGTCCTATCTCTTCCCTGTGTGTACTTACAAAATAAGTATACCGAGGAATTAATTCATTTTAAGTAGTTTTTTGTTTGTTTGTTTGTTTGTTTGTTTTTTTAATTTAAACAGTGAGCATAGATTCTGTCAGTGGAACAATTCAGAATGAGGTAATTCCTGAAAGGACTGGCTCAGGAGCCTAGCTCTTTGTGAACCCTGAAGACTACTGGCTTTCCTTTGCCTAACCAGGAGTGGCTGCCACCACCACATTCTTACCATGAGGTACATGGCCCCCGAAGGGCGGACTGGCCGGAGTCCAGGAATGGCAGCCAAAGCCCCATAGCACAAGTCAGCATTGGACTATAAGAGGAGGAAGATTAAAAATTAGGTAAATGAAAAAACAAGTCATTAAAAGGTGAGCCCATATCAAAAGCAAGGAACCTAAGTTTGCCCTACTGGCATAAGGAGTCAACAAGAAAAAAACCTGCTACCTGAAGCTTTTGGCCAGGAGCAGAGTGACTTGCCAGAAGTTAGAAATGTATGGGTGGAGCCCTGGCTGGCATGGCTCAGTGGACTGAGCACTGGACTGTGAAGTAAAGGGTCGCTGGTTTGATTCCCACTCAGGGCACATGCCTGAGTTGTGGGCCAGTTTCCCAGTAAGGGGCATGCAAGAGGCAACCACACGTTGACGTTTCTCTCCCTCTCTTTCTCCCTCCCTT